AAGGACAAACTTAATCATGAGCTGGCCATATTGATACTGGTTAACCACCCTTCTAGACCCCTCGGTGGAAACACCAATCAGCATGCATTCTTTTCCAGATCTGAATTCCCAGGATCATGGTTGCCCACATCATATGGTCTGGAAGTTCCATGGGACAATACACTGAAGCCAGCATGCTCCGGACTGGTTTGAGAAGCCCTTTCAGGGAAATAGGAAGCCACTCACTAGGGATGCTAGATCTCAATTAATTGAATAATCATGTAACCACACAACTACTCCTGGGGAGCCCCATGCCGCTCTGCAGGGCTGCTTCTGAATCAGAGATAGCAGTGTGGGGTGGCAGGCGGGAGATGGTTTAAACCATGTTTTAAACTACAACCTGGCGAAGGTTCCTGCTCCTCACCCAGTGGCACATTCCACAAAGATACAAGCATCTTCACCTTCATTCTTGGCACATGACCCAATTCAAGACATCTGTAGAGTGGTATTTGGTTCACACTTTTGCATTGAGCTATGCCATCATTCAATAGTCTAGAGATGATGCTGGATTTGGTAGAGTTGTAATACATTCTGCTTTTTAACGAGCCCTCGTCCTAGATCTGCTTGGGAGTCACTTACATTGGAATAGACATGAGCAAGCACCCAAAGAAGAAAAAAGTAACTCACTTTCTATAAGTACTGTTCTTCAGGATGTTTATGTCCAATCCAGCCTCTTACCCTGCCTACCTCTTTGTCAGAGGGAGTTGGCAAGAAGTAACTGAGAAGGCAGTAAGGGTCTGTATATTGGCACTTTGAAGGGGTAACTCCATGAGGCACCAGACCACTTGAAGGAAAACTTTCCAGTGGTGGTGCATGAGGCCAATGTACACCTATGTTGGAATGCACATAAGCAACATATCTTGAAGAATAGTAGTTACAAAGTTACTCTGAATTATGTAGTTTCCACTCCCAACTCATCGGATGAAGTGCATTTTACCCATGAAGCTCATGATACTATATATTTTTGTTAGTCTCTAAGGTGCCACAGGACTGCTTGTATTTAACAGTTACAAAGGTTAGTAACCATTTTTTCTGGGATTAGTTTAATCTTGTATCTAACCACACTAGTACTAGTGCTGTTATGAGGAAAAGTTTATTTTTATAGCTGCAGAAATCCTTCTGTTCAAGAAAAGTTTTGTTTCCCACAATTGCTGGGAAATCGTTTTCTCATCATTTTGATCTAGTCCTTAGCACTCCTGTGGATGGTTGTGGCATAGATGAACATTTCTGTTGCTCTGATTACTACTCCAGTAAATGGAGTACACACATCAGCTGTAGCCTTTTCATTTCATACATTCAAAGTGCCAAAGCTTTAGGGCTACAAAGATGCTGCAGGTAAAATGTTAAAATCCTGTACTAGTTGGTCTCTTCGCTGCAAAACTATTCACAAAATTCCTTGAGGGCATTTGGGAAAAGTATACATCTGAGGAACATTTGTATAATAAGTTTCTATTACTCTACAGCAGTGTTTCCCCACCAGGGTTCAACGGAATCCTGGGGTTCCACAGACCATCGTCAGGGGTTCTGTGAGAAATCATTGAACAAATAAATACAATTTTTTTTCGTACAATGTAAGCTGACATATAAAAAACAGCTCTTTACAGATACATTTTCTTGACAATAATTTAGCAGTAATTGAATTGCGCTCCCTGCTGTCAACTTTTTCTGGCCAAGCAAACATTTTCATAGGTAGAGGTTCCTCGGGCTATGAAAAATTATTTTAGGGGTTCCTCCATGGGGAAAAAGGTTGGGAATCACTGCTCTACAGAATCATTCTCAGTTTACGAAGTTCTTGATTAAGGGCAAGAAAGAGGGAAAGACTTTCAATTCCTGCCTATTTTCTACTATAACAATAACTAAGTTCTACTTATAATTCCCCCCTTTCCCTCCATTTCTGTGGTTAACTAATCACTGCTTCCCTTTAGTAGTAAAGAAGGGGAGACGCTGGTAACAACAACAAATCTCATTCCATCAACAGCTCCTCACCTCATTCAACCAATCCTGGTAGTCTGTAAATTATCAGAATACACATTGATGTTTTTCTTTCAAGGGAGACTTGGTTATAACTTTCTTAAGGTTAATTAATATATTAATGCTAATAATTGGTTGCTGGAGTGTTTCTAAAGCTTTGGAAAAACTCTTCTTGTGTCCTATGCTGAAGAGCAGGGCTTAGTTCTGAAACTGCCAGCAACAACATTGACCTGCCTCCAAATTGTGTAAGTTGTGAGGGAGGGTGCTGATTTATTAGTGATGAATGAGAAGAGAAGCTGCTAGCAGAAAATTATAAGGTAAGAAATGTTTCATTCATTAAGTTCAATCACGGCCCACCTTGCAGCAATCAGCATATTTTCCACCTGTTCAGTCTTCTCACATCCCATAGTATCTAGATTCCTGAAAAGATTATTGCATTCTTACCCTCCTATCAAAGCTCATGTAACTTTTCTTCAAGCCACTTTCAAAATGGTGCTTGCACTATCTTACTCTAAAGATAGTTGTCTTAGTTATCATTGCATAGACTATATGTTAATTATCTCCAAGTTCTAACTCTCTCCCTCTCCATAAAATATTCCACAGAGATAAGGTGGTCTGGAGACATCTGAACTTCATTCCTAAAGTGGTCTTGAAATTTCATTGAACCCCAGTCCATTAGTTTACCTCTGTTCTTTTATAAACCTTGTTATGTTCCAGGGAAGAAAGTACACACTCTGAATGTTTTCAAGAGTTTACATTGATAGAGTAAGGGGTTTTATTCTGTTGGCTTACCTCTTCATCGCCATCTTCAGTGTAGCATAAAGTTTATCTCTTTCCTTTGAGAGGGTATTAAAACAGATTATGCAGTATGTCTCTGTCTCCTTCCAAATGGCTGGTATATCTTTTCCTTCCACGTGTTAAGATTTACTCTACTAGAGTACAACTTGGGGTCACTATTTCAGGAGTGTACCCGTATCTGGAAACTAGCCTCCTGACTTTGGATAAGTACTATGGCACCTGACTTTTCAGTTAGATCAAAGACAATTTCAGGAGAGCAATATTACACTGTCTGTTGAGTTAAAGCAAGACTCCTCATTCCCACCTTCCAGACTGGACGCTAATCCATCATGTAGAGTGAGAGCCATTCAAGAAAAGAACATTGCATACTTTATAACAACAGAGGTGATGCCTACACTAACGGCTATGTTACTTATGTAGCTGGAGTCGACATACCTTGATTCAAGTTTCTCTGGTATCCACACAGTGGGAGACACATGGGAGCAAATGCTCCCATCGTCTTCCCTTACTTCTCGCAGGAGCAGCAGTTCTGGCTACCAGCAGGGGTGCCTTCTGAGGTTGATATAGCGGATCTTACTAGATCTGCTAAATCAAACTTCAGAAGATTGATTGAGGCAGTGTCCATCTTCCCAGAAGTGTAAAGATGGGGACAAACAGGATGACAGGACTTGCACAACCCAACATTCTGCTATGCTAGTCTCCCACACGAGGTATATATGTACAAAGGCATCACACATTGCTGACGGCATCTTAGAGCCACAATTTCTCTATAGGTTTTTTTTTTTAAGATGTGAGATTTAGAAAAAAGGGATTTTGCGTTTGAAAGGGTGTGCTAACATTTTTGTATAGTCACGTAAAAATGCTAGACACTCATTCATTGTTCTGAATGAGAGCAAGTGCACAGGATTATAAAGCGGGTAGAAAACTCTGGATTTTTTTCCTTTTTGAAAATTTAGAACCTCCGAGAGTTGCTTTGGGTCTCTCTAGATATACATGTTGTCTTAAGTAGCTCTTAATTTATTGACATAGCAGTTTCAAAGCTTCTAATTTCCTTTGGAAGAGCTGTTTCTCAAGGAGCTTAAAAATTTCATTTAAAAGATCTTTGAACAAAGTTGTTTTTATTCATTGGAATCTGCACCACATTTTAAATATAGCAAATTCTTCAGATAACAGTAAGTTTTCAGAGAAACAATTAGGCGGCACCCTCAGATCTTGTAGGGGGGTTAAAAGGAAAACATCAGTGTAAAAATCACACTTGTATCTGAAGTATCCAAGAGGTTAGCAGTTAGTCTGTATCTACAAAATAGATCTTTGCCCACAAAAGCTTATGCCCAGATAAATTCTGTCAATCTTTAAGGTGCCACAGGACTCCTTGTTTTACTTGTTTGAATCTATTTTACATATTGTTGCTTGTTTTCAGTTTGTTTAGTTGATGCATTTAAGAACTTTTGGTGGTCAGTTTGTATTCTTGTCCATACTCAAGTTTCCACTATTTCCTGTTTGTTACGACACTGAAAAGGATCATTTTTTTTAATATGGAGGCATGTGATTAAAAAGCTACCAAAACCGACATAGGGTCTCAGACAGAAGGGATCTTGTGCTCAACTGTTTTTCAGTGTACTAGATTTCAAATTAACAGTGCCCTCTTAATTATATGAAAATCATTCATACAATGAATTGATGAACCACTTGCTAAATTATCAACATATTCATACAACCTTAAAAGGGATATTTCCAGACTAGTCTTTTTAAGAGTTAATTTGAGAACTATATTCTGTAAACAAAAAGGAGTGGTAGTTAAAAAATTATTAGAAGTCAAAAAGTCATTTTATGTCAATATTTTCTTTAGCTCTCATTGTATTAAAGAGAATTAGCATGTTCTTTTGTCATTTTTGAAGTTTCCCAGTGTTTCATGGCTAAAGTCTAAGGCTCCTAGTTCTTCAAATACAAGCACATTGCAAAATAAGAAGTTAATGGACTACTTGCATGTATAAAGTTAAGTGTGCACATGAGCTTCCTCACTCGCTGATAATGTAAAAAATCAATTTGAATGTGGCTGCTTCTAAAACCAGAATTATTGTATATATTTAATTCTTGATTTTGCTTACTTTTTCAGTATTATAGTTTTTCACTGAAAATGTAGGATTAGTATCAGTGTGTACTAAATGTGAAGACTGAATCTTGTCTTTCAGAGATCAGTAGTGACTGGCGAAGAGCTGATGCAACTTGGACTAAAATGCAGGAAGAAAATGTTATTCCTCGTGAGAGAACATTAAGGTTACTAGCTGATATTCTTAAGAACAATGGTCAAGAAGTACCATTTGATGTACCTGAGGTAACTTGGGTTTAACTTTATACACAAGTGCCACATTGTGTTCCTTTTGTTTGAATCATTCTTTTTTTTCCCATATCTCTTCATGTTGTATGATTTTAATTAAACCATTTACTTTGTTTTAAAGATCTGGTATGAAGACTGTGTAGAATCAGCTCCTGTTTCAGAAAATAACCCTGAGAAGAAAATATTGATCCTCTGCAAAAAGGGCAATATCCAAGGTAAACTGAAAACACATCTTTTTTCATTTGGCTTAAAAACGTTTTATTAATCAACAAAACGAACCAATAGTCTCGGGCACCTAATGCAATAATAGAGTCTAGACTCCAGGGTTTAAAATTACAAGTAGTATTTTTTGAATCTGTCCGGCAAGTCTGTGCTGGGTGCAGCATCCAGTTGTTCTGCAGTATCCATTGTATAACATTCATTTCTGAGTTGTATTGGTCAACTATTGAGGGGTAACAATAGTGATCAGTAGATCACAATAGAGATCAGTGTTAAAGACCAATATGAGGTCTTTCTCTCAGCACTGATAACTGTCCAAATAGCTTGGTTTATTTTAAAAAGAAAAAGTTTAGTAACCATTGCTATTGTGTGCTGGTTGTTCATTTCATATATTCTGTATCTAATCCTTGGATGTATAAGCAAGAAAATATCAACTATGACTAGGGAGACTGTATTATCTATGTATGCTGCATTGGAGAGTCCTTTACTGAACTACTATGTCCATTTCTGCTGTTTACACTTTGGAAAAAAAGTTGATAAATTGGAAAGGGTTCAAAAAAGAGCAACAAGAATATTTGAGATCTGGAAAACATGTCTTAAATATGACTGTAAAGAGCACAGTCTATAATCCAAGGGAAAGTTAAAAGGTGACTTGATCACAGTCTACAAGTATCTATTTGGGGAACAGATTTGATAGTTGTCAGCTCTTTCATATGCCAACAAAAAGTATAATGAGATCCAGTGATACGAAGTTGAATATAGACAAATTCAGACTAGAAAAATAAAGTATAGGTTTTTAACACAGAAAGTAACTTGAAAAACATTGGACTATTCCAGGGTCCGCCACTGAAGCCAGTAAATTAATTTGAGATATCTTTTTAAAAGATAAGCTATCGTTGGGGCCTTACCAAATTCATTATCCATTTTGATCAATTTCACATAGTATTTTTAAAATCATAACATTTTATGAATTCAGATATTTAAACTTGAAATTTCACAATGGTTGTAAATTTACAGGTCCTTTCTAAAGAATCCCAACCAGTGGGGAAAGTGAAGCCAAACTGGCCCTCTCTTTTCCTCCTGTTAAATGCTCTCCAGGGAAATCATGCAGCAATACAGGTTTTTATCAATCTTTAGGGCAGAGGGTGAATAGGCCTTACCTTTTAAAGACCGTTTTTATTCCTTCTTAGCCTAAATACACATGGCTGATGGTTATATGACACAAGGAAACTTCATTAGTTGGGTGAAAAATGCCAGCTCCTTTTAATGTGTAATTTGTTGGATGATTAAATCTTACAGATATGTTCTTTTGGAGCTCTATGCCAGTATTAAACTCTGCAGGTTGAAACTACAGACTCCTACGCCGTTTCAGTGTCTCATTTCTGAGACAGCATAGACTACAATCTGCTACAGAATTGTTTTGTTCGGTTACTGGAAAAACTGATGTTAAAGCACCATTGAACTCCCAGAGCCCTGATGGGGGGGGGGGTTAGGCACATGTACACATGAACTGTGTACACAAATGTAGGATATATAGCATGTGCACTCCCTCATGTTGTGTTCTGTGTAGCACATTAATAGTAATTTTTGTATTATGGCAGATTTAAGAGCTTCTTCAGAATGTTAATTTTCATACCAATAAATTTGGGGGATCAAAAGGCAGGCTTGAAAATGCATATAGCTTAGGAGGATCAGGTTCTGAAAACAGAACTAATTAATTTTTTCTTTGGAAAGTGTTGGGGAATAGTTAATATTGATTTAATGCCCTTTATAACCTAAAAAAATTGTAATTTTACCCCTATTTGTAAATAAGGTTTGAATTTCTTGAGGTAGGTTCCTGCTTCTAAGATATACAGTTCAAACAAACAAACAAACAAAACCCAACAACCCTGAACCAATGTATTACTGATCACCCTGAGCACTTTGAAACTGAATTTACCCGTAGATTGTGATTGCTCATTTTACAGTTACATTCTGTTGTGTTCCTGGTAGATGATCCAGACCTGCCAGATACTAACAATGAGAATTTAATAGGAAAATATTTTGCTGAAAATACTGTGAAATGTGTCGTGTGCATGTATTTAAAATCCTATAAAAATTCACTTGTCAACTTTATGTAAACAATGTAATGTAATTTTGATATGAATACAATAGGTTATTGTATAATTTTTTCTTTCAAGACTTTTTATTAGAAGGTGAACTTATCAGTTTAGAATATTAGTAATATAATTAGATTAATTCCTTGGCAGGGCTCTGTTTTAAAAGTCCATTCTTCGTGGTTTTTTATTTATGCAAAACAAAATGTTCATTTTACTGACTTGACTCTGCATTGTTATAAATTGGTCTTTTGGATAGTGTGTGCATGTGTCCAATCAGAGGACATTGCTGAGCCAAATGTGACTCTGTTGTGAGAATTGAAATTTTGTATTAGTGAATTGTCACATTTCTAACAGCTTTCTCTACTTTAAAGTGATAATACAACATACGATTTTTATGCCAGATACTCTTTTGAATGCTAACATACTTGAGTAATTTGAGCACAGCATTCCACGAAAAAATGACAGTTTGAGGAATAATAAACTGATAATCCATATTTGGGAATCTGATCTCCATTTGAGGACTCTTTAGTCAGCTTCAGATAGGCAACTCAAATAGAGTTGATGGAAGATAATGCCACTTTGTTTTTAGAAGGCAAGCAGTGAGGCAATTATGAAATATTTTCCCATTTAGAAGGAAAAAATAAAATAATTACAGCAGGTTGGCCAAAAGGATTATATATATAATCCTCGGTGTCTAAGAGCTAAGGTGCGCATGATGCTTCAGCCCTGCGGCGGGTTGGTGGGGCTGGGGACAAGACACTACAGTACATAAACCCCTTGCCCCAGTACCTTGCCACAGAGCAGAAGTCCCACACACCCCCAGGCAGTCTGGTAATCAGAGAATGGGAGGGAGATGCGCTGTTCTGTGAGCCACACTTTTAACTGTAAAAGATTCGCATGTGGCTCAGGAGCCACAGTTACACCATGTTTCTGTTATAGAAACTAGAGTTTTGAGGGTACGATATGAAGACTAGTTAAGATTTTTAGTATTATGTTTAATTAACCAAAACCTCTGGAAGTCTCAGAGGTGTAGAAGTAATATTGAGGCTTGTCATTTATGGGTTTACAGCTCAGGAGCTCTTCAACTCATTAGCTCTTCTAGTATTCCTGTCACCAGATGGCAGTGTTATATCTACTGCACACATCCATGAATAACTGACGTGCAAACATAGGGTTCTACCATTGATTTCAGTGGGGCTACGATGTTATCCTTGGTATATTATATGTACAGTTATTATCTCTTGTACTCCTGGTGGAAATCTGAGCCATCGCACGTAAACAGAATTTGTCCCCCACAGAATTCTTTGCTTCCCCACAGAAAAAATACTTTCTAATGGGGAAGCAAAGAGAAGCCACAAAAGCGATTTTGTGACCCACCTCAGCAGTATGTTTTGGGTGCCTGGGGCAGCTGGAAATGAGGTAAATCATTGTGGGGTATGGGATGGAAGCGGGGAAGACCCAGATGGTGGCTCCTACCCTGTTCCAGGTTCAGCTTTTAGTCCCAGCTGGGCTGGGAAATACAGGACTTCCTTGTTCCCTGCATGGCATTCAGGGCTGAGTCAGAAACACCCCCAGCTGCAGGAAACTCTGCAGAGTCTCCTCTTTCCACCACTTCATTCACCCATTGCTCCTCAGCTGCAGGGGGAGGGATCCCTTTATAGGGAACTACTCTCCTGTCTACCCACCCCAAACACCTACATGACCAGTCTCTCCTGCTGAGCCTCATTCCCTGCTTTCTGAACCTACCAGTGAGCCCCACTCCTTCTGCCCCTCAACTACCCCAATGAGCGCCAGTCAGTTGCACTTGGGAAATGGGAGACCTCTGAAGTCCCCATCTTACAGGTGTCCTCAGACGAGTCCGTGGCCAGTATGTGAACCACCACACTCCCTACCTTGGACAGCTGGGGCCACCAGGACCTCTTAAGATGGGTGGCTCAGAACCTCAGGCTGTAGGTGGATTAGATTTGTTGAGGATGCGGACCCTATAGTAGATGCTGGCGTCCCGAAGGGCACTTCCAAAGTTGCCCTCCCCTTCATTAAAATTATCCATAATAATACTAAGGTGCTGTGGCAAATCCCAACATCCATACCCCCCTACCGATAAAAGGTCTCAATGCTGTTTCTTGATTCTTCCCCTCCCCCCACCACCACCTTTAAGGGCTATGAACATCTCTGTGCATGTCTGATGTCGGGGTCCCTTGTGGTGGAGACTGTAAATCACAAGGAATGCTAGGGACAACGTGGACTGGTGCCCAAATCGAAAGACACAAAAACGCTAGATCTCTTTGTGCATAAGGTCTATTCTGCAGGGGTTTTACAATTATGGGGGCCAGCCAGGAAACGCTGTTGAGCTGCTACTCATTTAACTCTTGGGCAGCCTTGCCAAATTCCAGGAGCTTCTTCCTCCTGACTCGTGTCAGGAGTTCACCACACTGGTCGAGGAGGGCAAGCTGGTTGCTAGGACCTTCAGCATACTCCGCCTCCCATACTATGTCCACAGTCGTCGTCATGAGAAGGGGCTCATGGCTGCAAGTCTCAAGTATTCCTCTGGAGGTCCAGACAGCTTTGCAAGATTGCCCCTTTAACTGCTTCTGGCTGCTTGCAGAAAATATGGAATCTCACCTGCACAGCCTGAAGAAATGACTCTCTCATGTCTGAGGATCCATACCTCAGAGAAAGTCCTTTAGACCACCGGCTCCTGCCTGCTTCTGTTCTGGTCAAGCCAGGCAGAACTTGTCCAGGCACTGAGGCCAGAATCACTGATGGTGCCAGCCTCTCTCCAACTTGGACCAGGATCTGGGAGGCCCTAAGCAATTCCCAGGCTCAAAACCCAACTTTTGAGGATGCACCTGAGGGCGGAGCACCAGTTCCCAAGCTGGGAACCTCAGACTGCTGAGTTCTAAGCATTGTGGTGGTAGGATACTCTGTCCAGTTGCTTTCCCTCCTTTCTTGTGCCCAAAGCACCAGGGATTAGCTATTTCATCTGTTAGGGTCCACCTTGCAGCCCCCTCTATTTTGCATTCAGGGAAAGGATTTTTGAAAATCCTATGGTAGGAAAGTTCCTAAAGGGCCTGGACCTTGATTCCAAAAACTTGATTCCTCCCTGGGGCCTCCTAGTCCTTTCTAAACTGCTGGTGAGTCACCTGTTGGAATGCACATGAGCAATTAAAGGAAGAAAAAACCTTTACCTTCCTTTCATACTATTGTTCTTCAAGATGTGTTGCTCATGCCCATTCCAAATCCCACCCACCTCCTCTCTCTTAGAATAAGAGGCGTCGGCAGTGTCTTATATACCATGCTACAAAGGCGCCACTTCAGGAGGCTCCACAGCTGAGTGCTAAGTGAAAAATTCTCCAATCATGCAGGCAGCATATGCCCACTAAGGGTACATCCAAACTACATCTTTTTTGATAAAGGGATGCAAATTAGACTTATCGAAATTGTAAATGAAACTGGGATTTGAATTTCCCGTGCTTCATTTATATAATGGCGGCCGCGCTTTTTTTAAGAAGCCGTGTTTTCGGGGAAAAAATGCGGTCAAGACGGGGATCTTTCAGCATAAATGCCCTGTTTCAATGAATAAATCTTTCTAAAATCTCAAAATGTGGTCTCAGGGTATGTCTACACACAGCAAAAGTTGTACATAGTTCAGCATACCTGAGCTAGTCTGAATCCAACTAGCACAGTAGCAATGAAGAAAGTATAGTACTGCTTCAGCACAGATAGTACAAGCCCAGCATTGGCCTTGGACTCTGCTTTCTATCTTATTTTGAAGCCTCTGCTGCATGGTCTTTAATACTATTGTTACCTACACTAGCTAGATTCAGTCTAGCTTGGAAAGACTCATGGACAGCTTTTGCTGCGTAGACATGCCCTTAGAGTCAAGTCATCATCAGGTTCAGACAAGACGGTATGGTCACACTTGCAGTCTTGAGACTGTGCATGAAAAATTGGTGAAGGTGTGTCCTGAAGTTTCCTTTGGTTGTATTGTGTTTCCTTTGAGGTTAAAATTCAAACAAATTATTTCCCCCTTCCCATGACAAGTATGAGCAAAAGTATTTTTCATATTTGATGCATTACATTTTAATGTTAATCTTATTTATTATTAAGAATATGTTCTAAATATTGATATAGCTTAAAGTTTGAGCTCCTAGTTTTTATATTTCAGTATGTCACATGTAACATGCAGCTGCACAGTTCCAGATATTAAATTTTTTGTGTGTTCTTCATTGCAGTTTTCTAGCATTCACTGTAGTCTGGATAACCATTTCTGCTGGATGTTTACAGCTGCATAATCTTGTTTCAAAAAATAAATGACTAAAAAGTATGGTTATCTTTTCTCTCTCTCTCTCTCTCTCTCTGTCTGTCTGTCTCTCTCTTTTTTGGGGGGGACGTCTTTTCATACACTGACAGTTATTGTGAATTTTTTTGGGGGGACGTCTTTTCATACACTGACAGTTATTGTGAATGTGTGAAATAAAACTGCTAATCAGTCAAACAAATGCAGCTTAGTTTACTTGTTAAATATCTGTATATTTGTAAATTGTATGTTTTTACATAAATCTTGTCGTAGCCAAACATTTGATCTCCCAGTTATGGAATCCCTGCCTATATTGGCTGAATGCTGTTGTGATGATGCGCCAAACATTGTAACTATCTACCCCAGAATTAGGTGTTGCTTCAAAAAACGTTAGTTCTCTCTTTCTCATGAACAGTTGTTTGGAGGTGATTTTTATTGTAAACGAACTACAGGAAAGAGGATTGAAACATTTTTTTTAGAGTTAGCCTATCTGACTTGTTTTTTTGAGTGTAAGCAAAAATGTAACTTATCTGGATTTTATAGGAAACAATTTAAATATATATACATTTTTAGAAACCTACAACTTTTGGCTCTATGGATAGGAGTAATCATTCAAACCTGGGAAAACCAACAATTTTCTAAAATATAGCTTTAGACTAAAAGATTTAAGAAAAGGAGGAATAGATTTATGTTTAAGATGCCGTCTTTTTGTAAATAAAAAGAGATGTGAATGCTCTTTATATGCCACTTCAATGCAATGTGACATCTCAATTGGTTTTTTTTTTTCTCTTTGTAGAGGCATACAATATTTTACTGGAAGAACAAAAGAAAGATATTATGTTTCCTTCCTTTACATATTCCATTCTTATAAAAGCATTGCTGGCTGAAGGCTGTCTTGAGAAAGCCATCAATGTGAAAAACATGTAAGTTTTTGTTTTTTAAACCCATAGCTCTGTTCTAAAACTGTCTGCTCGTTATGTTGCATGAAAATTATTGTATTTCCTTTAGAGTAAAGTCCTAGCTTCCTAACAAAAAAATGGGCCCCAGTTGGAAACACAATTGTATAGTGAATAATGCATTGGTCTTTTATATGTCCTAAATCGAAAAGAAGTGTGCACAGTATCGAAATATTCTTTTTTCACCTAGCCTTGGTTTTGACTTCATTGAATCATGTAGTTGTACCATGTGTTTTAACTACTGCATATAACTCTTGTTGTATGCTAGTTACTAACACATGATCCTACTAAATTAGGGTAAAATCTTAAAATACCTAAATCCCATTTTCAAAAGTGATTTAGTAACTTCCAAAAGTGACTTTCCAATGCTCCTGTCATCTGAAGAAGTGGATTGTGTCCACGAAAGCTCATGATACCATTTTGTTATCCTTTTCGGTGCTACTAGAGTATTTGTTGTTTTTACGGACTAACTCGGCTACCCCTCTGAAGTTTTAGTAACTCTAGTTACTAAAGGTATAGATTAGCTAGCAGTGTCACCAATGTAAGTCGGGTTGTTAAACAGTCTGGAAATCTGATTATATGATGAGATTACTATCCTTTTAAAATTGATTTTAAAAAAAAGAGTTGCATAAATGGTTAAAATATTTAACTGAAAAGGTGCCTTGTAATAAGGACTCATTTTTAAAATTGTCTTTATTGAAAAGTAGGAAAGTAATAACTTAATTTTGGTAGATTATGTCATCAAAGGAAGCTTGAGGAGAGCAGGAATTTAAAAGCAGTGTGATACCTTTTTTGGGGGTTAAAACAAGAACAATGGAGAGAAGTGCAGCATATATATCTAAAAGAAAATTATGAACTGGTTACATACAATATCTTTGTGATTTTTAAACAATGTGTGTCACCACAAAAACTTAGTTTCTAGTTTTTTTTTAAAATGCTCCAAAATATAGTATATTCATATATTTTCTCTCTTTATTAAAAAAAAAAAAATTCTGTGGGACGACAGAGAGAGGTTATCACGTTACTCTGCATCCCACCTGCCTCCTCCCTTTCTTTCCCCTTCCCCCATCCCAGCTCTAGCCTGACCTTGCTGCTTCCCCTCGCCACTTGGAATTGCTATTTTAAACCAAGCCCCTACTTCCTTTCCTCTACCTTCACCTCACAGGGCTTACAGTGCCAAGAAACATGGCATAGGAGCTGACAGGCCCCACATCGCAGTCGTGACAGTCCAGGAGCGGAGAGGGCGGTGCGGTGCTCAGGACAGCAGCCTGGGGACAGGTGCTAGGAGCGGGGCTCCCAGATGGGTTTATGTGCCTGCAGCAGGCTCTTGGGGGCTCCCCCATTGCCAGGCTCTTGGGGAGCCAGACTGCGGTGCCCAACTGCCCAGAGTCCGGCTGCCTCTGTGGAGACTCACCCCTTCCACTGCAGCTCCCTGAGCTGCCTGGGCAAGCTGCTACACTGACCTGTCAGCTCCTTCCCTTGCACTCCTGGCAGGCGGACGGGTGGCACTGGGCTTTGTGCGAAGGGTTGGGGTGGTGAGCAAGGCAGGCAGGACCACATGGGGGAGATCTTGGGACAGCGCCCCCCTGCACTGCTGTTTTCCCCACCTCAGAAGGCTACAGTGCTCCCAAACACAGGGCAAGCACCCCTGTGTCTCCGCAGCCACGGGGCTTAGAGTCAGGCTTGACGTGTTCCACAGCCTGAGGGAAGGGTTAGGTTTGTGGGGGAGAGAAGGGGCCCGGACAGCTGGGGGTGGAGGAGAGCCAGGTTTGGCAGCCACAGCGAGCAGGGGGCACAGCCCCCTTGTACTCAAAAATAAAATAATGTTCACGATTGTGCCTTAAAAAGTTCTTGGCATTAGGAGAAATGGAAGTAGGATTTAGCCAGTAGCTCCATTCTAATTTGTCAGACTTCTAAACCTAAAGTAATAAACAATACATTGTTTGGCAGAGTAGTTCAGAAAAGTGTACCCTTCTGAAATACCCATAATGGCAGTCTTAATGAGCCCATACTGATTAACTCTTGCTGGTATTTCTTTACAGGATAATGATTGAACAATATATGGATGGGCCTTTCAGTAACAAAGGAGTAAAATTATAAGTACTTAGATTTTTAAAAATTACTTTGCGGAAGCAAACTTTTTTTCTAAAAATGCCTAGATGGTATATCAAAATAGTGAATGGAATCGAAAGGCTATCTGTGGTGTGAACAATTTAGGACACATGTTGTGTATGCTTGACAAATTTCTGTATGCTGTAAACTTTAGGGAACATGGGAGTCAATTTTAACAATCTCATTTACTGAAAGAGTATTCTTACAAGTACTCCTAATTGTGTGCAGTGGCCTGAAAATTTTCTCTCTCCCAATATTTACACTAAAAGATGTGAAAGGTAGTTTCATTTGTATAGACTTGCTTTTTTTTCCTGTGTGAAGCCAAATTTGAAATTTTACAAATATTTAGAGAACATTGTATGATTTGTTTGTAATAGTGTAAGTAGCCTAACAAGCATTTTTAACATAAAAAACAATTTTATTTTTAAAATTAATATCTTGGTATTAGGGCTGGAAAGGACTAATGTTGAATTAAGATGATGGTATAAGGAAGCAGCATGTCCAGGAGTTTTCTGATATCTTGGTGCAACCAAAGTGTTGCTGCCTTATGATTCTAATTAATTTTAGGTGTGTGTACTGCATTTAGTTCAAGAGTTTTAAAAAAGAAATTTAGTAGTATTGGAATGAGGGATTAGTGCTGTAATAGTGACTAACATCTATTTAATCACACTAAAGATTGGAGAAAGTAAATCCTTTGTTATATGTAATTTACAGTCTCATACATGAATTGTTGACTTAAGGGCTTTGACAGATGGGACAAAGGGGGGAAAAAGCGGAACTGAGCAATGGGTGCTTAGGCAGGGATTAAGAGGATTGGTTGGGAGAGTAAGAAAATCCTGAGTCCAGTGACTGCATTTGTGAGTCCTAGAAGCTGAAAGTGACTGAGAGGATAGTCGTATTGTGTACTCTGTGAAGGATTTTCTTGGGATTGATGAGAATAATTTAGCAATGACCCTGCTTACCTCCCAATCCGCTCAGCTCATAAATTCAAGTAGGTAGGCTGCTCAGTTGTTTGCCACAAGATGATCATTGAGGTTTATCTTGATTGCTGATATGGCAAATGGCAGTGCCCCTTTTTTGTGGGGGGAGATTTTGTAATCTAGAAATGAATCTTTTGTAAAGTTATCTTTATGTATTAAAAATGAGCTTAAATTTCATTAGAAATAGGAACATTTTGCAAATGTAAAATAGATGAGATTGCTGGTTAGTCTTCATTAAAAGCATACGTTTTAGGTTATGAAAAGCAATATTAAAGTGCTCTTTGCCATAGATGTGTGACTTTTTGCATTGCAAGGGACACAAAATTGACAAATGAAATTTAATTTTAACATGGCAAAGGCAGCAAATGAAATATGTTCAGTTTAAAAAACTGTATACTTCTAGATGACAGAAATTTGAAAATTAATCAACCAAATAATATGGTGTTAGTTCATAATATGCTTTAGTTTATATTTAAAATATACAGTGCTGAAAATAAATGTTTCATTTTTATTGCTGAAAGAATAGTTTTACATTTTATAATTATGGTGACTTAGAAGAAGAAGAAAAAGTATCCAGCTTAGGATACAACAGAACAATGCAGGGCATGCAGTTATTTTAGTCATCTAATATGTCAGCATTCAAGAATCTGAACCGATTGTTTAAAAAAAAAATCTTGTACTTTGTTTCTTTTGTTGCTCACTTCCAACTTTGTCATCTGTCAGAATGCAAAAAAAAATTATCCTTCTATAACCATTGACAGGATAACACAAAAGCTGTCTCCAGGTCGATATTTTGCAGCAATATTTTTAACATACGAACAGTAGTTTTTATAATTTCACCTTGGTGCTCAACCATTTATTATCGTATCAGAAGCATGTCAGTAATTCCTTTCTAAATGTCTGCTTCTTTTAGCGCTGAGACCCACATCAAGGGCTTCACACTGAACGATGCTGCCAGCAGCCTCCTCATCATAACGCAAGTTAGGCGGGATTATTTGAAAGGTATGTCACAATGCTTGACCTTTACGTCACATTAATGCCTCTGCAGATTTTTCTTGTAACGCCCTTCGAATACTTGGATAAAGGAGTCCATTTAGCAAATTACCTGCTTATCAAGAGCCTTTTGTGGTAGCTGAGAGACGTAAATTACTGTACATGCATTTATAATACAGCTTGAATATGAATGTACTTGTCATTTGACCACTTAGTCCAGTTTCCATTCCATTTAACACAAGATGGGTTTTCTTAAGATGAATCACAGCTCTTCAGACATGCAAAATTTGTGCTCCAGAATGAGAGAAAGTACAGGCTTTCAAGTGCGTTAAAATTCACAGCACAAGTCATTTTGCTTTAGAAATTAACATACTTTAGAGCATCTGAAACAATTCCCAGCAGTTGCTTCTTTCATATTGTGTTGGTTGTGTGAGATATCAGATGAATTAAATTGAGTGTTAAATGTACATGATTGTGCACTAAATGATTATAACATTAGTTTTTTTAAAAAAATCAATCTAATACTTTTAAATAGTTCACAGTACCAATAATATAGAAATATACATTGCACTTTTCTTTACTTTCTTATTTAATATTGTAACAGAAATGGTGGTTGAAGAAGCACATGGGTGGGACAAGATGGTGGAAAACATGCCATTATGCAACTTTCAGCTGTTCAGCATCATTTGTTTTGTAGCTTGATATCTTTTTTGGGGGGTATTAGGAATAATAGGAAGTGGGTGAAGCATCAGGACTAAACATGGCTAGTAAAGTTAACCTTTCAGTTTTTTTCTGAGCACTTTTGAATAATCTGGCACTCTGAGTGTGTGTACACATTCTTCCATTAAAATTTTTACTGTGGTTTAATTTACTTGGTTTCTAAAATCTTCTAAACTGCATTATTTGGGAGTGGAAAACCCTGCACAAACAGCTAGTATTACTTTTTGAGTCAGAGCAGTTGCCCAAGAGTATAAATTGTCTTATTAATGTATTTCCAATACTGCTCTTAAAAAAAAAAAAAGAGGAACTAAATGTAAACAAAAATTTCAAAACGGGGAGCTATTTTATTTTAATCTGGTGGAAGAAAATTCAGATTTGCATCTGCCAAATCATCCTTCAATTAATTCACTCCATTATACTTTGATGTTGTACTATATTTGTGTGAGCCATTGCCTATGTTAAAATGCTTCTGCAATAAGTGAGATACATCATGTCAATCTGTTTTCTGCTAAACAGTAACAAAAAAAAATACGTTTGCTTTCAAATTCCTTTTCCATACAATCTCATGTCATTTGTTTTCCCTCAATATGTGCATGCAAGGACCAGCTCAAATTCAGAATGTTGAAATGGACCTCCTTTTCTTCCCATCTGTAACTCAGCTCTTATTATTGACAATCCTCTATTTTTGCAGTCCCACAGGCCTGCAACCTAGCTGTTATATTTTATTTCCCTCTTTCATTTCCTTTCTTCTTTTTCCACAGTTCAGCATGTTGATAGAAAGACATTGCAAAACCTTTAATACTATCACCAGAATTCTTCCTTTTCTTCATAACCCACTACTGAAACCTTGTCTAATACTCTGCACATCTCTTCGTATGACTGTTGTAACTTCTTTCCCTTGGCAATCCAGATTCACTCATTGCACCTCCTCAATTCTATGCAACATTCTGCTGAAAAAAATCCTTCCTCCTTCCATGCACCTCATTCCCTTTAATGCTCCCTTGATACAGGTTGGACCTCCCTGGTCTGGCAGCCTCGGGACCTGAGCTGTCCTGGACCAGGGTTGGTCAGTGATCCACTGCTGGGGGTTCCTTGGGGTTTCCCAGTACCGAGGCCACCCGGCCGCCACCTGTCCTGCTGCTGTGGCCCAGCTCCACTGCCCCTAGGGGAATCCTAGCCAGGGCCGCCTGGCCGCTGCTGCTGCTGCCAAGAGTTCCCGGGGTTTCCCGGCTAGCTCCACTGCCACCAAGGATTCCCCTGTTGGGGCCAGGACTCCCAGCTGCTGCCCGACCCCTCCACCAGGGTTCCCTAGCCAGGGCTCTCAGGCCAGTGTTCTCCCACTGCTGCTAAGGAGTGCTCAGTGTTCCAAAGCCCTTGCAATCGCCTGACCCCACTGAGGCCGGGGGTTCCCCAGCGAGGACGGAGGCTTCCAGACACTGCCTGGCCCGGTGACACTGGGGTTTCCCCTGCCTAGCCACTGCTGGCCCAGCCAGGACTCTGCAGACCCCACTCTCCCAGGACTCTGGTCCAGCAACATCCGTGGCCTTCACAGACTGTGAATGTTGCCGGACAAGAGAGTCCCGGCTTTGGGAGGTTCAACAAGGATTCTCTTGTGTTGGTTTCTAGGAATAACTCCTATTAGGCTTGGAATGTTCTCCTTAATCTTGTCACTTGCATAGTTTCTATTCTTCAAAACTTACTGCTTCCAGTCACTAATTGCATTTGTGATGCTTGAAAAAGTGCTGATTCCATTAACATTACCAAAAAGGGTTTCTAGCCCCCATTACATGCGAAGACAGTGTAAACTCATAAGCATTCAATAAAAGTTATAATTTAGTGTAGGTGTTCCTGAAAATTGTTGCACAGATCATCCCAAAAATGCAAAGACTTTCTTAATTTTTCCACCCTCATCTAATGTCCTGTTTCTGATTTCAGTTCTGGCCTGCTTTCTGGATGCTGCCGCCAAATTTAAATATACTATGTAATTTTTAAAAGTCTCTAAAAAGAGCTAATAAAATGTGAGAATAACAATAAGTATATTATGATTTTAATATATCGTATTTCATATATATTTACACACTTTGTTGCAAGAATCCCTTTCCATCTTTTAACTGTCATACTTTTCTGTGAAACATGCCGTGTACACTTGTACTGTAAAAAGATTTGTAGAGCGTAATGCTGCTTGAAAGAGCTTTCTTTTGGGATTCCAGGTTGTAGAATAGTGGTCTCCAACCTTTTTAAGCACAAAATCACTTTTTGAATTTAAGTGCAATCCAGGATCTATTTCAAACCCAAATACCCTTTCCCCTCCCTCTGCCCTGCCTCTTCTCAGAGGCCCCGCCTTGCTCACTCCATCCCCCCTCTGTTCCCCGAGGCTGGGGCAGGATGTTGGGGGACCGGCTCTGGGAGAGAGTTTGTATGCAGGAGGGACTTGGGGACAGAGATTCACATTGCCCCTTTAAGTATGCTGTGCCAGCAAGATTCCTTCATCCCAAGCCCTGTTATCCTGTCCCCCCTGTGTGGTGAGAGATTGGCTTGGGGAAAGGGGACATCCTGACCTCAGTGTCTTCCTCTCTTTCTTTCCCACCCCTCACTGCAATCAGGAGGTTCCCCAGGGCAGCTCCAAGGTAGAGGGCAGGTGCAGCACAGCAGCGTGGGGAGGGGGAGCTGAAGTGTCAGCATTTGATAGTTTCCTGGACAAACCAGTTAGAATCACCTGTCAGAGGTTCCAGGATCTACCAGTAGATCCTTATCTGGTTGAAGACCACTGCTGTAGAGGAAAAACATGGTCAGATAAGAAGGTAAACACTGGTTATGACAAATGTTCTAAAAATGTGAATTCACATTAGGAATAGCAAGAACTTTAAGAGTTGTTATAGCGTAGGACTAAGGAGGACATACAGAATGCATTTGGTGTTGCTTAGTAGCAAGTAGTTTTTCGCAGTGTTGCTGGGTTTATGTTCTTCCTAAAGTATCCTGTTCCTGAGCAGGGCAATCAAGCAACATCTGAACTAGGAATGTTAAAAAGTGGTTAATTAGGCAACTGTGTAACCATGGGACCGAGGAGTGGGGGGGTGGGGAGGTGGAGGAAATCTTAGCGGTTACATACCGCAGGCTGTAGCACAACCAGCTCCTCATGAGCTGGGCCAGCTGCTGTTCTTGCTCCCAGGGAGCTGGCTGTACTGTGGGCTCTCAGTATAAGCTTTTTACTGCAGAGCCCACAGGGTGGGGTGTCAACCGGCTCCCGTCTGCCATTCTGCGCCCAGGGAGTCAGCTGCCATCCTGCACTCCTTCCTCTGATACTGGGAGCTGCATCATGCCTGGAGCCAGTGTGTAACCATTACGGTATTCCATAAACTCATGCTTATTGGTTAACCATTTAAACAGTTACACTGTTATTTCCCTAATATGAATTGTTAATGGGCAGCACTTGTGATAGGGAGGAAAATTTAAAACTAGCAAATAATTCAGTTTAGTTTTCAGATTGTAGGAATCTTGTCCCACATGTCTTTGCTTAAGACTCTCAAAACTAAAACAAAGTTGGGAGTTTGCTGTGGAGTTTAGGTATGCTGTACAATATTTTTATTTAATTTTAACATGACAGAGTTAGAGTGTGCGTGTGTGAGAGAGAGTGTTGTGTTAGGATTAATCAAAGGTAATAATTTCTATCTGCTGGTAAGCTGAGAGAGGTTTTTACAAGACGGGAATGAGTGGCTTTGTTTTTAAATTCATGTCTGAGGATTGATACTGAAGCATGTTGTTAATGAGGTTTTACTGCTTTGTAGGTTGGCAAGACTAACTTTCACAGGTAACTGATGTCTAGATTTTATACTTGTGTGTAAATTCATATCAGATAGCTTTATTCAATATCGTATTTTTTCTAAAGCCTATTGAATAGAAAATGGGTGTGATTACTAGATTCTAGTGATTTTAACTCATTTGATACACTTCATTTTAAACAAATTATCTTTGCTAGGGTATCCGATATCTCCAATGGCAAAGGTTTCATAACAAGGAAAACTGTGGTTACAGTCTGTTTTAGCACAGTAACTTAAAAATTTATTGGTTTCAGTGAGGTGTATGTCGGAAAATCATTTCCTTTGGGTGTGATGTATGAAAAAGATAGTTTTGGAATCTTGTCAAGGTTTTCCAGTGAACAAGGTTTGGGGGATTTTATCTTCCTTTATCTAACTGCTAAACATGAAAAAACCCTGCTGAGACTTTCATTTATATATTCATTTAATGTTTCATTTAACTGCAGCTGTTTTAGGGTTGTTTGTCTATATATAGAACAAGTAATGCTGCTAATAATGTCTCTAAGGTCTATTTTTTAACTAAAATCTTAATTTTTTCCCCCTTTTCATCCTGACTAGATGCTATATCTACTCTGAAAGCAGTCCTTGAAAATGACATGGTGCCTACTCGACTAGCTGTGACTCGGCTCATTCAGGCTCTGGCTATGAAAGGAGATGTGGAGAGCGTACGTACAGTTGAGAAGATGGTAGAAAACCTGGCAGTTTCCATTGGTTTATCTCGCATGCTTTTTGTCAATAACACTGTATTGGCTCACATCAAGAAGTAAGTACTTGTAGGGTCGATATGTTTCTTTTCATAAAAGGAGAGGAAAATATACTGTTGCCACTTATTTCAGTTTTTTTCCTTCATTAAAGGCAGGTCTATATTAAACCAGAAGGTCCACTTAAAATGTGTTATTTACATAGCTGGAGTTAATGTACTGTAAGCCGAATTTCTCCAGCATTCCCACAGTGGGAGGTTGACAGAAGAAACTCTTCCCATTGACTTCCCTTACTCCTCTCAACTGCAAGGATTTCTGGAGTCAATGGGAGCACCCTCAGCGTTCAGTTTAGCAGATCTTTATTAGATGTGCTAAATTGAACACCAAAAGATCGACCTCTGCAGCGTCAATCCTGTGTTTAGTATAGACATGGCCTAAGATGGAATGGATACTAGATTTTTGCCAGGTTGGCTGTTGTTCAGGTTTCTTTTATGTGCACATTGGAGCCTAGAGATCATTTATTGAAACCTAGGTGTTGACTGGCAACTACTAGTTGTGGGGGGACTTTGAGTGAGATAATGTAAAAATATATGTAGTTATCAAATCCTACACACCCAAATTCCCTCTGTAGCTGGTGTCTGAAACTCAGTTTACCTCAGGGCCAGTATCAGTCCTCTTAGCGGGCCAGCAGGCACACCCTTCTGGTAGGGCTCCAGAGGGATGGGGATCTCCATATGCCTCCTTCCCTCCCCCATGGGTCACCTGGCACCTCCTGCTGGTCCATATGTTCCCTCCCTCCACGCGTCCCCAAGCAATTCAGAACCACTGGTGCAGTGCAGTGCAGTAGGGTGGCAGCAGCGCCTGTCCACGGGAATCTCAGCTCCCCACAGATGCTTGGTAGCAGCCCTTGTCCCCTCTTCCTCCTTCCCACCCACTGCTGGCACTCTGAGGAGAAGACTTTTAAGCTTTCTCCCCCCAAGCGCTGCCCTTTGCACATACCCACCATGCTGCTGTCTCTGTGGGAGGCAGCAGGGGTAGGGGGAGCAGGTGGCTCTACGGGAAACAGCAAGAGCAGGGAGTCAGCTTAAAAGCCAGCTTCCCCTGAGCATTAGCTCTTGCCTTGCCTCTCCTCTTCTGCAGCCTCTGCATCAGAGGCAGCAAGGGGGGAATGTGTGTAGTTGTTTGGATTAAGCAGCAAGCCTAGTCTTATTGATTAATCATTTAAACAGCTGTGCAGTAACATTCCTGTTGACTGGGCTCTTAGAAGAAAGACATTTAGGGGTAAGTCAGAGCTAAATAACAGCACAGAACTCTGCAAACTAGGACTGGTGGCTATAAACAAATTTTATGGGAAAGTGGACATCGGGCTAATTCAAATTATGCCAGGCAAGAGAAATTCAACCTGCAGTACACCCTCTCTCCAACTATTGTGCATAATATTACTGTGCTCACTTAGGGTCTGACGCAAAGACTGTTGAAGTCTGAATCCTCCCTATCCCTGTTCTGCTACCCCACTGGGCTTCCTGGTTCCCCTGGGCAGCTTGGCTATTCACTGGATCTCCTCCCTCTTCTCCTGAAGCCCAGCTGAGCCGCATTCTGGACTTCCTGACCCATGCCTATTCCCTTCCCCCTCCCCCAGCAGCACATCAGCTTCCTGGGCAGCCTAACTGAGCCATGCATTGGGCTCCTGGCACCCTCTACCCTTTGCAGCACACCTATACTCTCTGATCCTGGAACATCTGTGATCTAGGAGAGTCCTGGCTTATGGAGATGCAATCTGGAGTAGTTGAAGAATGTACCATGCCTGATGGATAACTACTGATCTGTTTTTCATCAGTGTAAAATCTATAAATTAATGGAGATGCCTATCTCCTAGAACTGGAAGGGACCTTGAAAGGTCATCAAGTCCAGTCCCCTGCCTTCACATCAGGACCAAGTACCATCCCTGACAAATTTTTGCCCCAAATCCCTAAATGGCCTCCACAAGGATTGAATTTACAATCCTGGGTTTAGCAGGCCAATGCTCAAACCACTGAACTATCACTCCCCCTATATAAGAAAAGTACTTTGTAAAAATCCACTTGCCATACTATTGTCGGACTACAATTCTAATTGTCTGCAAACATCATCCATATTCTTTGTCTCAGATTTATAGATCTATGGTTTGGCATTTTTATTTTAACTTTCATGTTGGTTTGTGACTTTACATAGTTTCAGATCAGAAAGTTTTTAAAACAAAACATACCTCTGTTGGAAATAGTCCTCACATTCTGTTGTTTTCTTATGTCTTTGTATTTTTTTATTTCAAACCACTCTTGTGAGAGAGAGCTGTAGATTTGTAGAACATAGCAGATATCTGCTTCAGGCATTCAGGATCAGAAAAAATATCCAACTAAGGTATTTGGAATTTCAAGATGATTTATATTAGGTGGTGAGCTCCAAGCAGGCCTTTTCCAATAGTGAACTTAATAGGCTATCTAGTAGCTGAAAACAGCATTAATTTAAGGACCCAATCCTGCAAAATCGTTATGTCTTTGAGCTTTTTTTTTTTGTATGAGTAATGAATATAAAGTGGTGTGAGTTTACTCTTTGAGTAAGAAATGGGAACTCATGTGAGTAAGATTTTGTGGGGTCAGTCTCTATGTAGGCTTTTAAATAGATCTTAAAATACCATATTTCCATGTTATATCCTTGGAGAAATGTCAAAGTCTTTTCATGTATTTATCCTAAATTGGAGTGGCAACAGGAACTAAATAGATCAGATTATGCAGAGTTACTGTACGAAAGATTGTATTAGTTTTCTTTCTCTTATGCTGACTGAATTTGTGTTTAACATAGGAGACTACATGTGCAGACATCACTTTTTCCCATAGCAAAAACCCTGTGTCCTTGCCTTTAAAAATAGTTAGCAATTTGTAATTTACAGCAATAACAGTTCCTTATGGATATTTAAATATCCATTATGGATTGGAAAAGATGTTTTTGTGACATGGATTTCAAGCTAAGTGTTTTCAGTGGCTTATAAGTGCTGAAATGTGCTGTATTTCTAATGATCAAATATTTGTGTTGATCCAATTAGATTCCTTTAAGTACTGTTATAATTATTTTTAGCGTGGACTGAGGTAAGAGGATGGCAGTTTGTGCTTTTTAAAATTCCAAATGTAGACTTGGCATTTAATGAATACTGCACCTTATGCCCATGATTTTATTAGAGCATGGTTCAATGTACTCCTTGCTAAGTTAAGACACACTATAGACAAAGGTGCTAAAGAAATTACATTTAATTTTTTCACATCTAGAAAGACATCTATGAAAAATTTAGGTAAATCTTAAATATTATAAAAATACTCCGAGTTTTATGTATTAATTATTCAAGTACTATCCCTTAATGTTTTATTTTTACCTTTTAGGCTTTCAGAACACCATTTTTAAGTAACTAACCAGTAGTCACCTTTGTTTAATAGTAGGAAAAAATCATGTCAGAGTTACTTTAGTACTGTACAGGTCAAAGTTCGTTCCAGAAAAAAATTGTTACTGGTGATTGTATCCATTCAGCCATAAATTTGTTTCACTTTGTGTTGTTACAATATCTGCATGAATTAAGTCATAGGTACTTTTAACATTGTTACTGTGTGTAATATTAATGTACAAAAATAAAATATTCATGTACCTGCTTCTTCTGGTTTGAGTTTTAACATTAAAACTAAGCCAGTTCACTGCCTTTGTTTTTTTTATAGCAATAACCTTGATACGGCAGTGGAATATATTGAGTCTTTGATTATTTCGGGAATGCAAAATCCTGATTCACCAATCACAAGTATATCCTATGTATTTAGAAAGGTGATTGAGGAAAAACTGGAGTCAGCTTTGGAAAAATGTAAGTTATTTTAGTGAAATTAAATATGCCGGTTAAATAGAAACATTGTAAAAGATAATTGCGTATAAAATCCTGCCTTATTCAAAAAAATGTTATAAAATTTGTAAAAGTGAGTTTTTAAATAAAAAATATTTCTTACATACCTATTGTTTTGCAGTAAGTGCCATGGCAGAGCGATTGGTCAATCAATTTGGAATTTACAAACCTGCCACGGATCTTTTTCTTCAGTATGTGTCTGAAGGAAGAATAGATGATGCCAGATTGCTACTACAGGTAATAATACACCAGAGAGGAATAGTAGTGTTCCGAGCTTGTCATAAGTAAATTGAGAAATTATCAAACGTAGGTGTGTGTGTTAGAGTTCAGTGTACAGAGAATGCTGATGCTGGTGCACCTAAATTACAATGTGAATTGCAGTAGCATGGCCTGGGTAGATAGTCCCAAATTATAGACTAGTAGTTTTATGGGTGCCGGCATGGTAAAAGAATAATGGTTTGTTTTCCTATAATGTGAAATGCCCTGAAACAAGGGAAGGAGAACTTGTATCTCACTTGAACTCCTGTGCAAGACAAGTGCTTCTGCTCGAATGCTCAGTTATATATCAATCTCTTCTTGCAAAAGAACAGTTTCCCTTTGATCTCTCTAATTTCTGTAATACTTTAAATAACATGCATCTCTCTTGCTATGGAGTTTGCAAACAAAAAGTGAGCAAATGTTTTCTTTTTAAGTGCAGTCTCTCACTTGAATACTCATTCTGTGTGCTTTATTCAAGGTTTATTAAGAGCTGAATTTGCTTTCTATTCACTCGTGTGTCAAAGACACATTAAATGACAAATGGAGGTCTCTGTGGCCTACAGTCTCAGTTATAAATTAGCAATCTTCAGCGAATGAGACAACTGCATTCATGCCTTTTTAACAGTGCTAAATATAAAGCTGAGCCAAATGCAGAAAGAACTGTGGGTGATAAGAGCTGCCACTGGCAGTATACACAAACAGCCTCAGACAGGGAGTCTCTTCCCAGCAGGTGGCAGTCAAACAATCACAGTGATCCTGCAGGTTGCTGTGTTTTGTGTAGACTCCCTGTGTCAAATTGAGGCCTGTTACCAATTTCTGATAGTAAATAGTACCATAGTCACTTATACCAGCTACTGAGTGTTTTTTTTTTAAAAAAAAAAAAAAAAAAAAGAAAGCAAACCCCCCCTTTATTTTTTTTTTTTTCTTTTTTACATTCAGAAACAGTTTATTTTTATTAACAGGAAAAAAGAAATTTAATCAGTGATTGTTGCTAGCATATTAACAAGGATTAAGAATATTTGCACATTATACACTGTGGAAGTATAATTTTGTTTGTTTGCAAAGACAGGAGTATCCAAGCTTTATTTAAATGAATGCGGTCAACTTTAAAATGATGTCATAAGCAAACCTATTTCTTCAGTAATCATCCATTTTACATGTCATCTAGATGGTGCTTGGTCCTGCCATGAGGGCAAGGTACTGGACTTGATGACCTCTCAAGGTCCTTTCCATTTCTAGTGTTCTATGATTTTGTGAAAATCGATTGTTAGTTTAACTTTTCAGGTTCTCAAGTGCAGCAAGAAAGTGTTGATTTAAACAAAATCCCTCTGGAATTTTTCATAAATCGTGGAAATACTTGCATCTGTCCTTTTAGATGTTAAATCTTATTACCGCAAAATTGGTGTTTGTCCTGTATAGTATAAGAAATAGCTTCTTGCATAGATTTTGGTTGTGTACCACAAAATGTTGATTTTTCTGAGGTGTTCAGAGAGATTAAACATGGGCAGAGTCAGGTGCTTCAGACATTATATTTAGAGTGTTAAAAAGAATATTCTTTGGGGAAGAGGAAGTGTCAGTGGAAACCATTCCTATCTGGGTTTAAACAGTCCAATACAAACTGTAGCTCAAGAATTGCACTAATATTTGAGAAGAAAGTTATATTTACCAGTTTCTTTATATTATGCAAACTGAATGAAGTGCAAAAAGTAAACCAACAAAACATAAAGGTTGAATACATTTCATTAGAATACTCTAAAACTGTGGTGTCCAACACACTAGCCACATGTGGCTATTTGGCCATTTGAGCGTGGTTAGTTCACTGTAGCAGTAGCCACTATAGTGGCTATTGCTTCAGGACTGGTTGGACACCCCGGCTCTAAAATGATATTAGTAACACGTGAGGACATAATTCTCAAACATGGTCTTTAAGATGTCACTGACCCCTTTTTAAAAAAGCATTGTGCAGTTTTTCTGATGGTACAGATTGAACCTCTGTAATCCAGGACTCTGTAGTCCAGCAACATCCGTGGATATTGATGGTAAAAAAGCTGGGGAGTGTGAACCAACTGGGAGCCTCATCTCCTGGGAGCCCCAGCTGGGTGGGGCAGAAATGACACCGGCAAGCCCGGTCCCTGTGGATTCCAGTGGAGTGTGGCACAGATGGCAAACCCCTTCCCGGGTATCCACAGCAGATAGCAGCAGAAGTGAGACCGACAAGCCCCGGCCCCGGGGATTCCTGGTCTGGCAGGAGAGAAGCAGCAGCTGGGGAGCTCCATCCCCAGGGAGCCCCAGTGAGCTGGAGTTCATGTCCAACCCCTGCAGGCTGGAGCCCAGTGGCAGTGGAGCCAGCCACAGGGAAGGGAAGTGTCCTTGGTAGCTGGTGTTAGGGGACCTCCCTATATCTGGCAAATTCCCTCATTTGGGATGGATCAGGTCCCAAGAGTGTCGGATAAGGGAGGTCCAACCTGTACCATAGAAAGTGAAATATGTTTACCATTTAGCAAGTAAAGGTGTTCCTTACATTTAAAAAAAAAACTTTTTAAAAGCATAGAAGTTGAGTTGATATCTTAGCTTGTGAAGGGAATATGCAAATATATTCCGTGTTCTATTCCTTTTAAAAGAACTCAGTTCCCAGAATGACAGTAGGTGAGGATGGCAAGTACCAGTAGCAATAATATTGTAAGTTTCCCCTCAGAATGCTTTTATACTGTCATCATAAAGCAAATATTTGACAGAACACTTGGGGTATGTGAATTTCAACATTCCATCAGTTTGCCTTTTCTTGATAGAATGAGGTGTCAAACAATAACCTTTTCACCTGGACCTTCAACAACTTGTCAAACAATATTATATACGTAGTATATTGTTAATGCACTGGAGAATTATTTATTGTTCACATGTGTCTAAAATATCAGTTTATATTATAAATTCATTTTGTGTATTTTGCAAATATAACCACTTTGGGGAGTCTGTTTCTTTTGTGCATTTCAATATGTTTTAAATGTTATATAAAACAATGTGTATTTTAAAATGTATAAGAATGACACAATGAGCATAAACTAAAATATTGTCTTGCATATTTGATTTTACTAGAGTTTCTAAGATGGGATAGACACTTGACTTATCTGGTCTGTCACAAACTTTTTTTAAGTTTAACTTTTGTCTCTTTCAAGCACTGGCTGTCTATTGCAATGAAAGCCTTTTATAAAATAGAGAGATTGAAATCAGTCCTTTTGTATGCATAAGTGTAGGTAATTATACTTTAAAGAGAACTTGCTTTGTACATTTTAATTTTTATAAAGAAACGAGCAGTTATCTCCCTGACACCTTATTAAATGTATAATTAACCTTATGATCCCTAGCTCACTTGTGAATGCTTGGCAGTATAATTGGAGAGGAATAGTGTTTCTTTTTTTCTTCTTTCTTTTACAGTCCTAAGCCTTATTTCTGTGGGATGTTAAGGCATTTAATTTTTTCTCCCTTTCCTTTTAAACAAACTTCATGCTTATCATGCCAAGGACAGCATTTAAAAAAGCTTGGCATGGTAGGCACTTGTTTTCATTTTGGGGGTATTTTTTAATTAATGGTCTTTTATTAGGCCTTACTTCTAGCTAATGATATATTACTGTAGTATTGTGAACCTTTTTAATTGGAAATGTTCACCTTAGCCACTTTGTTTATCAAGAAGCTGTGCTCACTGATGCTATTTTAATTTTTCATTTCTTTTTTTTTTTTTTAAAGAGGTGTGGTGGGATAGCTGAACAAAAGAAAATTATGATGGCTTTCATTGCTAAATCTTCACAGAAACCAGGACAGGTATAATATTTCCATGAATGTAATTAAATATAGAAGTGGTGTTCTTCTTTAATCAGTCCTGAATAACAACTTTTGGATGCGTTTAGAATGCTTGCATATTAATATTTTTGCAAGAAAATTTTGTCAGCCCAGCAAGAAAGTTGAGTCAAAGCATACTAAGGGGGTTAATTATTTTGGTGTTCAAAGCTAGCTTTGATCAGACATTGCTTTTTCTTTTTCCCATCCAAAATATCAGCAGTGTAAATATTAACTTCATAGTGCATCATTAATCTTGTAGAACTTGCTACATCAGGAACCCCATTTATTGTATGGTATATGTTAAATGTAAATTAAATACTGAAATTGTTTCTTTTTGCAGTTCAGCAGTTCCTCTGCTCTCAATGTAATTTTGAGTTCAAACGTCACACATTTTATGTAACTTTCTCCTATTCACTCCATTATAACTGTCATGTTTCTGTACTACAGTAAGCATGCACATATTTTTCAATGTGAAAATCTGAACATATTTGTTAGCTGCACTGTAAGCTCACAAACCAACTAGCCATGCCAGTTACTATATAATGAGGTTTACGTTGGAGGACACCTTTCAAAATAGGGCATATAAGTTTTATGCACATATACATGGTTTGCATATGTGTATAGGTTCTTGTATATTCCCTGATTCTCTACATAATTGGAAAGCTGTCCATATATTAAAAAACATAAGGAAAGAAACTGTGTCATTGTATTTAGCTATAGATTTCATTCAATTTGTACCATTATTTTGCACTTGCATGGCAAGAGTTTCAAAAATTAGAAATTAGAGTTATTTTCTTAAATCCATATTTAGGTACCTTAATTAATGCTAGGGATATTAGATAGTGATTAATTGAATAGCTGTGTAACCATTCACAATATTATCCGTTACACGACTATTCAATATTCCCTGGGGGCAGGGCCCACAGCCATTGCATTCCTGGCCCCACTCCCAGGGAGCCCCCTATCACTCTGTGCTGTTGCCTCTATAACAGAGTCAACAGCACCGGGTGGCAGGCTGGAGTTGGTCCACGAGAGGAGCTGGCTTGGCAATGGTGCAGGGTGACAGCAGCCTCTGTCTGTGGGGGACCCAGAGGCAGGAGCGCTTGGGGAGGGGGAACTGATAGAGGCAGCAGGGAGGGGGAAATGCATGTAGTCAATAAGATTTACTGACAAGCCTATGCTTATTGATTAATCGTGTAGTTGGCTGCACGTTGACATCTCTAATGGGTACTGACAAACATTCCATATGGTGGCGGCTGAGAGCTTCTGGTTGCTCTGCATTTTTGAACATAGGGGATGAAATCCTGGTTCCATCAAAGGCATTGGCAACCCTCCCACTGACATAAAAAGCTTGATAATGAATTTTGTCACCGTTTTTTCTTGTTGCATGTGAAATGATGAAAAAAATGTAAAGCTTGGTCATCAAATTGAATAGCCCAGTCCTACTAGGAATTTCAGCTGAAACACTCATACATAATGGAACTATCAATGCCCAAGTTAGTATAATCCTATTCTTAAATATTTATATTGTAGGTAATGTTTCTGTTGTACGAATTTAATTTCCTAGGGGCAGAAAATCAAGATGCTGTTAGATCTGGTTCCTGATTTCCCGGAAATGGAAGTTGTATACTCTTACCTCCTGAAATGCCATGGTAAATGTTTACATTCAATGTTGCTTTTTAGTAAGGAGCATATCTTGAAGGGCCTTGGAAAGTCTCAAAAGCAGTTGAACCAGGAAGGTTCTGCTTTTTAGAAGGTGCATGGAGGTACCAGACATTTGCATGCATTGATATTGTATACTACAGTAGTTATCACATTGGCTGCGGCTCCCAGCACAGATAAGGGAGTAACTAGTGGGTCCCTGGCCAGAACTCTGCAGGGGGGAGTAGCAGCACTGCGGTAGTATTGTTTCAATAAACAGAAAAGGAAGCGAACTTTTGCCTTAAGTGTTGCAAAATGTTGCCGGAGTTAAGTGAGCTCATTAATCCCGTTTGGAACACACCTTGAATATAGTGAATGTTGTTTTATATAGTTAGCATGGGTGCTAAAAGTCAGGCTCCTGTGAACCTAAGTATGACTGTAACTGATGTTCTGAGATGCTGAATAACTTTTTCTTCTGTAGAAATCAGTGGAGAATTACATGTACTGAGGACCTCTGAAAAACAGGAGCTTCAGGGGGAAGCCGAGTTAGTCTGTTACAGAAAAATACAGCAAGCAAATGGTCTGGTAGCATATTTTGTTAGTCTGAAAAACAGGCCACGTATTTGGATGGCTGACTGCAGCATATTCAAAATGGAAATGCCACAACATGCAGTCCCCCTGACTGCACACAACTAGAATTTTCCATGCCTCTGTGTCCTGAGTCTAGCTTATGGTGATAGAGAGCTCCAGTTTTATTTAAAGAGAGTGTTATCTTCTTCAGGAGTATACAGTACAAGCAAAAAGGAATAAACCTCTCTCAGCAAAATCTGAAATCAAAACATGAAACAGCCACCATTTCCCCCCCTGAGCATAATATAATGTGATTTAAGAAAACAAATCCCCATTCTTTATGAAGACTAACTATAGAAGTTCTCACACAGTAAGTATGCTACTTATCATTGCAGCACAAGTAATCTCATGTTGTTCAAAATAAGGCAAACGCTAAAAGAGCAGACCACCGAATGATTCTTCAGTTCCTTGACTTCCTTCAGTGTTTGGTAGACCTTGACCATACCACCATCTAGAATTCTACTGCTTTCTGTTCACTGAAAGTCACCCAGCTTTGGCAAGACACCAGTGAAAGTAAACTCCATAACTGAATGATCATCCATTTGAAAATTCCCTGCTGCTTTGTCCTATAAAGTTACATTCCAGAAAGAGACTGCAGATACAGAACAGCAGTCTAGGTTGGTTAAAATGTATCTGCAAGAGAAGAGCCAAATATAACAGTCCTATAATCAGAATCCTCAATCGTTATTGAAAAATAATGAGTAGCCACTGAGCTTGGAACAAAGATGTACTGTGCTCAGAGCAACTGCCTTTGCTCTGCAGGTACCATTCTGCATCAGCATTATGAGGTGTTGTTTTTGTTTAAAAACACTAAACAGCTATTCAAATATGTGCTCAGATCGATTGCATTCTAGGGGAAGTCATTAGAGACTTTTGCCTTACTGGTACCCATAGGCTATGTCAAGACTGGCACATAATTTTCCACAAATACTTTTAACAGAAAAGTTTTTCCGTTAAAAGCATTTGCGGAAAAGAGCATCTAGATTGGCACAGACGCTTTTGCGCAAAAGCACGTTTTGCGGAAAAGCGTCCATGCCAGTCTAGACGCGGTTTTGCACAAGAAAGCCCCGATCGGCATTTTCGCCATTGGGGCTTTTTTGCTCAAAACAGTTTTTAGCTGTCTACACTGGTCCTCTTGCACAAATGCTTTTGCGCAAGAGGGCTTTTTCCCGAGCAGGAGCAGCATAGTATTTGCGCAAGAACACTGATAATCTTACATTAGATCATCAGTGTTCTTGCGTAAATTCAAGCAGTCAGTGTAGACAGCTGGCAAGTTTTTCCGCAAAAGCGGCTGGTTTTGCGGAAAAACTTGCCAGTCTAGATGCAGCCATAGAGTTGGCTAGAGTATCCCTTTGAGTGCTGATCATATGCCCTCTCAGTTCCTTCTTACCTGTGATAATTGCTCAGAGCATCTTGTCTTGCATTGCAATAGTGCTGTTGATTATTTCAGTCCATTGTTCTGTCTCCTTTGTAGTTAGCTTTTAGGTACTTAGTTTGATCATGAAGTGTTAGATGGTTTTAGTAGTTCTTCAAGTCCCAGCTGGGGACTTCACTGCAGAATGGGTCATGCTCCATTCCCCAGGCTTTAAACCACGTTAGTTCTGTACTGAGGTGATCAAGCTGTGCCCATTGGGTCCTGCGCTTCCTTGTGAGTTTTTGTGTGCCTCACAGGCTCATGGTGACCCTACTGCGGCCTCTTCCTTTTTTCAGAGGCGAGGGTACCCTGCTTCATGAGCTATTTTCATCATCGGCCGGTCACTAGTTTGAGAGACAAACTCCTCCACAGTCCAAGGGTCCTTTGACCATGTTGGCACCCCACCAGCCACGGGGAGAGTTAGGGTGAACCTGGTCCCTCCCACTTGCTCCGGGTTCCAGCCCAGGGCCCTCCCTATGTGGCAACCACTAGTAGGTCCCTTGCCCATATCTCCACAGAATAACGGCCCCTCGCTGGGCCATTTCCCCAACCATTCCCTTGGTACCTCCTCCCCTGCATTTTGGGGAAACCCCTGCCCGCCCCCCGCCCCCGCCCAGCTTGCGGCATGTAGTTTTTGCCTCCACTTGGAGTTTCCTCTTCTCCAGTCTGCCCCTCTTCTCCTTCCCCTGCCTTGCCTGAGAGGAAGGCTTTTATAGAGAGTCCACAGGCCTTAGCTGGCAACAAGTGTTACATTAGGCTGCACTGCAGGCTGGTTCCTAATGAGTTTCAGGTGTATGCCTGATCTGATGACTGAGCAGCAGTTTCTGGCAGCCTATTCAGGGAACATAAATCCACACACCCAACTACTGGTGTATCTGCCCTCCACCAAACTCCTGCAGCCCCCTGCTTTCTGTCTGACACAGTACCCATTAGTGACCACCACGATTGCTGTTTGATGTGTCTGGGGAAAATCGCACAGAAAAGACAAGTGCAGGATCTGCAAGAACTTCGCCCTCTGTTACCCGCACAAATTTCTCTGTACCTTCTACACTTTAGGGACACCCACCCTTACCCAAGTCCTAGGGCTCAGGGTGTAACTTCCTGTGGGTTTGCAGGATCTTTTGCCAATGAAAGAGCCTTATACAGTAATATTCTTATTCTCTGTTTATTGACAATTCCCAAGGAAGCAGAATACACATGCTAAGCACACAGTGCCATGCTCACCAATCCTGATCAGGCAGACTTCCCCTGTTGGCTAGGCAAGGTCAGTCTATCTGGGTCTTAGCTGCTGCACCTCATGGTCGTGAGGAGGAATATTGGCAGCTCTGATCTTAGGCTGTGTCTTGGAGGTGAGGTCTTCCAGGTTTTCCCTCCTTCTTCTTAGTGTTCCTTTCCTTCTTCCCTTTTGCTTCCTTCTTCCTCTCATCTCCTTCTTGGACCCCAGTTTATAGTGAAACTTGAGTCCTGCTTAGCTGTACTTTAACCAATTATTTCAGTATATTTTACTAACCAATCATAACATACTGTAACAGAATTACCTAACCAATCATACCCCACCACCTTAGTTGTTTACACCTAGCAAAATTAATTATGCAGCAGACAGGAACAGTTACAAACCAGACAGAGATCGCACAGACAAATAATAGGAAAGTGAGGACAATACTCATAGAATGAGGATTCCACAACCTCAACTATTGATAAGCAGTTTCTTACCAGACTACATGCTGTTAACTAAATTTACTGTATTCATCTTGAGATCTGTTTCTTTATCTGGTAACAGTGGGTCCATTAGGACAGGATCTCTTTCTGACAGCCTGGTATGACACTATTTTAATGCAGTTTAGATGGAATATGAGTCTGTGACTCCAGGCTTTACAGCGTCTTCTGCAGACAGATTGTTCTTCAATCTGGCTGCAGAAGAAGGCCTACCAATATGGCTACAGACCTTCCCATATGGCTACAGAAAAACCACATTGTTCTACCTTAAACTCAAAAGGAGTGGGATAGCTGAATGAAGCTGTGTTTTGTCCGCTCCCAGAGCCCTACTGGACAGTCTGCACATCAAGTACTTCAGCATCAGCACAGCACCAGACCCAGCCCTCCACTATTCACGTTCATCAATGCCCAAGAAGTTACTGGAGCCGAAGGGCATTAGCACTGCAGGAAAAGGGGTTTCAGGGAAAGGATATGCTAGGATGTGTGGCAGCCCCAGAGTTGCATGGGGATACTGCTGTGGTTAGATCCCCCTAACCTTACCAGGAGTCTACCTCCAACTCCTGAGAGCAGCACTTGGGTCTGAGGCAGCCCCTGTGACCAAGGACCAAGTAGGTTGCCTGGCACCTCAGATGCCAAGCTAGGCAATAAGCCAGATAAGGCACAGACCTCTAAGTTATGGGAACTCCCTCCAAAGCAATAGATTGTCCCCAGACCACAGGCGTTGATACTGATCACCATGGCCTAGGACCTTGCTGCCTCAGTCTCCAGCTCTTTAACACTAAGGTTGCCACCTACGAAGCATGGGATGCCCAAGTCAGGGAGCCAAAGTCAGGACGCCAATCCCTGTACAGGCAGTACTGCCAGGCCTTGTACCAGAGATCACCACAGTGCAGGTCCCCATCTCCAAAGCAGTGCCCCCAGTGTAAATCCTCATTGGTAGAGGATTGTTCCCAGGCAAAGCACTAGTCTCTGACTTCCTTGTACTGCACTTCATCCAGGCATCATTCCTTGCTCTTTCCTTATCAGTCACTGACAAGGGTCAGCTGACAGACTCAGGCATTTATGGCTCCAGCCTGGTCACTCGAAGGTCCGTAAGAGAGCCAAATCTCCAGTGGCCCACAAGGGGCAGGCATGATGGCCATATGGCAGCAAGGATAATAATGACCTGCCCAGTGTCAGTACTGGAGCCCCATGGGGTGTATCTGACATGTCAGTCCTGAACTCCCACCATTCAGGGACAGCAAGTTGAAT